TACAGTAATTGTGTAGCTATGGGAACAGCAACAGGGCAAAAAATGGCATTCAGATGATCAGACAAGTTCTAAACAAGAAAACTGTGGTGATGGACAAGTATGATAAAAACTGATTTAAATTTAAATTGGTTAGGAATGACCAAAACTACAGAAATAAGCCAATTTGTAATAACTGGAATGCAAGATACATGAATAATGAATGTCTGTGCACCTTTGTGTAGAGCTACAACAAAAAGAGCTTTGATGGTTGGACATAGGCGGTTTAAAAGACGTCTCAAGTTTTTTAGGTCACTGTGAAGTTCTTTTTTGTAAACTGCTAAAGTCATTGTCACTGTCAACGATGACAGGGGTCATGCAAATCTCAGATCATATTTGGCAGAAACTATTCATATGCAACAGTTACCAGGTTTTCTTTCAGTTGCTGTGGAACTTGGTGAATTCAAATATGGTAGGTCTTGTGTAGTGCTTGTTGATGGCTATTTTTCCCCAATGCAAGAACAATCTAATGACAGCTTTGAAGGCAGCATGAAGTTGGTAAGTTTTTCTTTTTACAGCAAACAAGTGCCTTTATGTGCATCCACAATATTAGGGCTTGTGAACAAGCCCTTCACTCTGCAATATATATTAACATTAGACATTAGCACACTGATAGTTTTTGATAATGACACAGTAGAAACATACACACACATTCTGACCCTTTTTTTTGTTTAATTACAGTCACTATTAGATAATTGATTTTAGGAAAAAGGAGACAAAAGTCTACGTGTCTACATCAGTGGAGCTGAGGTGGAGCAGGTGAACAGGTTTAGGTTTCTGGGAATCAGCATCACAGAGAACCTGACATGGTCATCTCACATCCACGCCCTGGTAAGGAAAGCTCAGAAACGTCTGTTTCTTAAGAAAACTTAAGGAGGAAAAGTTTTACAGAGGAGCAATAGAAAGCATGCTGACTTGAAACATCACTAACTGGAATGGGATGTGCACGGCCCAGGACTGGAGGGCTGATTAAAACTGCTCAGAAGATCATTGGTACCCATCTCCCGAGCATCAGTGATATCGGTGAGGTGAGGTGCCTATGTAGAGCCCAAAAGGATACCAACCCAGTCACAGCCTGCTCACCCTGCTGCAGTCTGGAAAAAGATACAGAGGTGTATGCTGTCACACCAGGCTGTGAGACAACTACATTCATCCTCTCCTCTCCTCCATGTAAAATAGTTTTATTTCTATGACTTGTTCACACATATGTACCTTGTAGGATTACATATGTGTGAGCTGATGTGTTTAGGTTATACCAAATAGTCTGTGAGTGGAGGAGTAGGAAGACAGGAACAGTGCTGGTAGTTTTCTGATCTTTTAGTGTGCTTCTATACTACAGATTGGTACTGGTACATTGATTTATCATGCAAGCAATGTAATTTGCAGTGAACATCATCTTCTTTGCACCCTTCAGTTCACAGGAATTTCATCACCCAGAGAACAAATGCACTGATGTACAAAAATACATTTATTTGAAACAATTTCAAAATGACAGTTTCTTTATCGTAGAAATATTGAAATAAAGATGAAACAGAACATTACTGATGATGCATGCATTGTAGATTTTTGTGCACTGAAGAACATTACAATGCAAGTATCTCTTTCATTTTTCCCCCCAGTATGGATTCCCCCGCAGATCTGGTTCTTACAGAATAATGTGGCATTTATGCTAGCAGATGAGACAGCAATTTCCAATGATCAAAGCGCTGATGGAATGAATAAAGAGCAAATAAACACCAGGAGATGACCCAAAGTGTATGAATTACTTTTATGCGTGACAGTTCCAATATGTCCAGGCAGACATTAAGCGCAGCACTTGTAGTAGCTATTCTTTACTTTCTTTACAGACTTTAATGGAATGCCAAATAATTTTCCAGCAACAGCTGATACATAGCATTATGGCCCGGTAATGAACCAGTGTAGTCGTCATACATTCCTTACAATTTCAAAGGGTCCAAGAGTAAAAAGAGAAAAACAAAAAATACAATGAAAGTATGATTTGAGTTCAGCGCAAAGTTTTTGATATTTCTTTTCCTGTTCCTCCTAATCCTGTTTCGCTAATACAAATCAGAACAAAGTGGCAGTATCAAAGCCCCAACCCAAACAATATTCAGCCAAGCAAACAACCCCTTGCTTATGACATGTGCTCATGTGTTGAATACAACAAAGCTATGAAACAATTCTTTGTTCAGTGTGTATTCTGTCTGCAGTAACAAGGCTTGGCTTGGCTGATGTGAGATGAGAACGATCTGTTTGAGGTAATGCATATGTGATGTGACAGCCTATATCTTTGTGCAGTGTGCCCCTGCAAGTGCTGTTAACTTGAGCTGAGCATTGTGGGATAGCTCTGTATGGGGCATCCTCTGCTGTCCAGCTTTGTCCGAGCCACTTTGCTTTTGTAGGACCGGAAAACACAGCGCTGGTGGAGAGTTGCATGCTGGGATGACACTACCCCTTCATTTGAAACTAAATGCAAAGCAGCGAGTCAAGTGTTTGGTTGTGAAAGATGCTTGATGTACCAGGGAGAGTGGATTAATTACAACAACCCTGCTTGTTTGTTCTGTATCTGCTCTTTTTGTACTACATGTGTTGGTTCAATAAATACTACTTAATCCACTCTTCATATCTGGGGACAATATTCTGGTTTTGTCATATAAAAAAACGTTTCTGAGACTTTTTAAGTCATAAAAAGACAGTGGCAGAAGGAGCAGAGTGGGCAAATAATCACGACGCTCTGTAACAGCTAACAAATATAAAACACTCCTCAAACTGCACGGAGCAGACACCCCAAAACCCTGAGCAAAGGTCCAAGTACGAAACACTGCAGTGAAGGGGTTCATTGTGAGTTACTGTTATATCAATTTATGAACAAAATAGTAATACAAGTAATACATTTAACCGTAAAGCATTTTTGATATTCTATATTCAATGTAACCTAAGAAAGTTATATCCTCTAAAATACCTTTATTCTAAAGGCCAACTTAGGGCTGGGTTTTGGCTTATGCATCAGGGTTATTTTAATGGTCAAGTAACTACAAGCCTAAACTAGAGCTGAAAAAGCTTGTTGTTAGCTGAGAAGGCAGAAACACTGAAGATTTAGAGGAAGTCTAATTAAAAGTGGGGTGTGCGATTCTGGAGGAAGACTTTTTTAATTTGATCTCAACAGTCAAATAAATACACCTCAGTGCTCCTTCATAAGTTGGTAAGTACAGCCTTAACACAATGGACAAATGAAAAAGAACGCAAGGCCAAAGGTTGGTTCTGCGGTTAGTCTAAATATTTTGTTATGCTATTAAAATACATCTGTTTTTTTGTAGTAGCTACTGTAGCAAGTGTGCAACCAAAGTCTAAACCGAGGAGTAGCTAAGCCTACATTATTTCGAGCAACTTCAACAGTAACAGCGACTATACTCTAACTATACTCTACCATCATTTATACATGCTGTAACAAGTAAAATACTTTTAGATCAAGTTGGCAAGGTAATCTGTTATTTATGTTTCATTACAATCATGGTTGAATGCATCTGTTTCCAGCAGCCTGGAGCCTGGAGACCTACAGTGCTGGAACAGTGTTGTGACTCAGTCCGAGCCACTCTGTTTCTTCACACAGAACAGAAACTATCGGGCCGTGAGGGGATATTCGCTGAACTTGACAAAAACACATGTCGCATACCCCACCTTTAATGCTCACAACCTGTAGTGACCTGAAAATGAGATGAGCAGCAGAAGATATGAAGTGTTGATAAAAATGGAACACATTGAAATGATGGGTGTAATATACTTTCTTTACACACCTTACTTTTTACAAGCTATTTGAAATACTAGAGGTCCCGATTCTTAATTATTAAGTTAACAAGCTTAAAATACAGATATTGTTTCAGTGGAAAACGTTGAACTACAAAAACACACGTCAATTCACAATTGTAAAGTGGTGTTACAGCCTGGCGCTGAGTTACTTATGTACTTAACATTAATAAGCTTCAGCAAATATAATCTGCAGCCAGTGATGTCAGTCATTTCCACTGATGAAAGCAGTGGCCAGTGAGAGCTGAAGATAAGAAGTCTGCTAATGTTTTTGGGGTTTTTTTGCAAGATAATAAACAAGAACAAATCTAAGAGTCTACAGCTATTCTAGCAGCTCTGTGAGGTTGTGCTTAGCACAGCGGCGCTTTCAACCAAATGCTAAGGGTATCGTGCTAACATGGTCACAATTATAGTTTTAACATCCTAATCTTTAGCAGGTACAATGTTACCATGTGGTCTGGTTGACTGACTGACCAACTTCTCCATTCACAGAGCCGTGCTGCTATCATGGCCGAAAAGAGGGATCAAGGATAAAAAGGTTTAACAGGAGATTCGTTAGCATCAGAGCTTCTCATATTTGGGTATTTTGCCAAACAGGAATGGAATCCAAAATGAAACCAGCTATGTGAACCCAACCCTAGGCCTACTGGTGTTTTAGAGGATGTAAACATAATATCATGTGAAAATTGTGAATTTGATCACTAATAGCCAAAATATATTAACTGATTCTGCTTTTGTTCTGAAGCTACGTCAGAAATATGAGTCATTGTCTTAGAAACAGAATGTAATGCAATGTTGTTTTATGTTGCATTGCAATTTCTGAACGTCTATTTTGTATATCTAATGGGAATATAAACATATTTCATTTATTTAACATATTTATGTTGATCCTTTTCATTTCATTTCCAGGGAATCGAGAGAAGTGTAAACTCCAATGTGCCAATACAGTTCTTCCAGCATTAACAGATAAACTTTTTCTGCTAGATACATATCGCCCAACAGTAACTGAAGAAAATGAAAGCAAAACAGTCTGGGCAAAATCGATTGGGCTCTTTTGATGAATGATTAGAAAATAACTATTTACAGAGGACAGAACACTTGCTTATCTACAACACAGAAATTGTGTCCTCAATAAGAACATGCACAAGTCAAGGACATTAGCAAAACAAAGTTGATTTCTTTAAGTAATGTTTGACTTTTTAACACACTCAAAAACAGACCATTGTCAGATCTTCTGTCGTCGCCATGGTACTCAGACTACGAGCATATAGAAAGTAATAATATATACATTTGACAAAACAGATGATTTTGTACATTTCAATAATATTCCCTGTTTGATTGAAGACTCAGACATTATAGTCTATTTATAGGCAGAATGAATTTCAAAGCAAACTCCTTTTTACATAACTCTTCATAGGTTTTGACGAAAGATATTTCACTCCGCAAATGAATATCGATATGTAGCTTATACATCCACAAAACTGAACACGTTTTGTCAGTAATTACAATGATCTCATTGAGTAAATTGACATTTGCTGCGTGGATGTTGTTGAACGAGGCATCCGTGCAAGTCTGTATAAATGAGGTCCCTTAGAAAACTATTAACATCAGTTCTGTGGAGAATTACAAAACAGAAAAAGAAAACCTCCGACACTGCAATACTTCACTCTGTACATAAACTGTTGCTCTCCGGCTTTACACGCTAGTACAGTTTGGAATCTCCCTTGTGCTCTCGCAGGTTTTTCCAACTCCCCCTGAGCAGAAATAAATGAAACAAATGGAGAAAAACAAGCCAAGAACATAGATAGTTAGTTCAGCGTTGGTGCTTTAATTCCTGTAAAACAAATAACTACTTTGACATTGACACCTCATGTTAATTACTGTTGTTTTATCAAAGGCAATGAAGCCGTTAAAAAAGGACATTAGAAAGTGATCCATTCTGAAAAAAATTCTTTTTTGTTATAATAAAAAAAGCCAAATTTTCAAAATGGATTTAGTGTACTTTAATAAATGGGCACACACAATAATGATCATTTTAACACTTATTTCATTTTTGAAATATTATTTCTTTATTGTATGTAAATATGCTTTTAATATACAGCTACAAAGTGCATAGTGAAAGAGTATTTAGCCTGTAAAACCAGTTCTATAATTCCTATGTAGTCCAAACTACAAAGTATCTAGTGATTTTGGAGCCTGACCCATTTTAGGGACTACAAATAATGCTATATTTACCTCCTCTATATTTATATTGACCTTTTTTTAAAAAAAGTCTCTGATGTTATGGTAGTGCAATATTAAATGACTTAATTTAATATGCCTTTACGGAATAATAGTTATGCAAGCAATTATTATTTAAATTTCTTAATGAATCAATTCAATCTATAAAGCTGTTTGTTCTTACTAATTTCCATGTAGGTATCTTCAAATGGCTTATTTTGTTTGAATAAAATGAGTCATTTTCTGTCAATCGACTAACCGACAGACTAATCGTTTCGGCTCTTATGCCTTCCTTCCTCTGAATCTCTTATTATTATATTTTCCACTTCAGTATGAGCCACAACCGTCTGTACCACCATCAAGTTAAGCTGCTACATGATTTTACTGACAGAATGCACTCTGTGGAGGATTACAGGCTCTATGCAAAAGATAACAATGGATATGAATAAAAATATTCAGCTGGATGTCAGGCTGAATTCTGATGGCCTTGGTGCTTGGCGGTGTCCACTACTGTGTAAGACTTGTTTTCATTCTCTACAGTTATTCTGAATTTTAACACCTACAATCACCTAGCTCTCCAAAACTGGGAAACTACAGGAGCTTCGTGTGTCTATCTAAGAATCAAATAAATCCAGGAACTGCACTTGCCAGACCTGTACTGCTTTATGTTGGTAAAGCTGCAAGACAGACTCATGCACCGTATAAGGTCAGAGTCAGAGTCAGCAGTGTTTCGCCAATTTGCTTTTGAAAACCTGCTGTTTTGTCCTGGATTGAAATATTCGTTTTTTTAAAAAGTCATACTGTGACCAAATAGTCGAGTGATTAAAGCCGCTGCCTCCGTGCTCCTGCTGGACTTTAGAATCCCGAGGCTGCATGCTTAAACATGTTGGTTTTATTAATTATTCATTGTTCTCAGTACTGCAAGCCTCGTTAGAATCTATTCTTTACTATGCTAAAACCCTTCCAGGAGTGCCTCAACTCTGTGGCTCTCTCTGAATAATTAAACACGCTAAAAAGAGATTATGTTGCCAATTCTCTGTTTAAAAAAGAATTTAAATTCAAAAGGTAAAGTATGCCTGGGGATGAATCTGCTCACATTCTGTGCATTATCATGTTGACTTTTACTCCAAAACCAAAGAAACAAATCCTGTCTCGGATCAGGAGACCAAAATCCCCTTTGAAGAACTGCTTTTACAATAAACAGTAATGTCAGCAAGTAAACATTTTGACTGATTCCATACATCATTTAACCTGATTATGAAAGTTCTTCACTTACTTTTGACCCTGGCATCCAGTTCTTTCTCCATGAGTTCTTTGGAAGTTGAGAACTCACTCAGAGTGATTTTAGGCGTGCTGTCCCCCTGGCCCACAGAGCCAATCATCTCCTGCTCTTTCTCCTGGTTTACCTCAGCATATATGTTGATCCAAGGTATTTTTCTAAAGATTAGCAAAATAAGAGATTGACAACTGTGCACCAGAATGAAAACCTTGTGGCAACATCTTACAGTATTCTTAGAGGGAAAGCAAAATGTTTTTGATATAATTCATAATTTTTACTAGTCTGAAAAAGTAAGAAAAACCTTTCTTAAAAACACGCATTTCTCTACAACTTAGAGGAGTACATCTGTTTATCAGTGCTGGACAATGCAAACTTTTAATAGTTACTTGACTATAATTATACCACAGTAACCAATTTATAGGCAAATTACAGTAACATTGGTGACTTTTCCCATGTGAATTTATAACACATAATATACATCTTTATTTAGTCACTATCCAATTTATTTCATTTTAGTTATTAATTGCTCTGTTTTGTCAACTGTGAGATTTCTTGAAAAATGCCTCATCTTTAGATTAATGGGGAAAATTTCATATCCATAATTAATGACAGCTTTTCCATTTCCCTCCGACTTTTCAAGAGAATCATTTTGAGTATGAATAATTTATTCAGCAAATAACAGCCGAGGCACAGCAACCGCATATTAAACCATTAAATGGTCGTTTTCTCTGCATTTTATCACTGATTGGTGCGTGTGCCTCATGCATTGGAATCCTGCTGGAAGTTTGTCTACAACCTCTAAGGGAGACTTTTCAAACATGACTGTGATTGATTGGGTCCAGACTGTCCTCATCTGGTATCATCAATAATGGATAATATGGTAATAAACATATATTTGGGTTCTATATGATAATGCTGTATGTGCGGCGGGTGGAAGCAATCACAAACATGTGTACCTCTTGAATTTGTAGATGAGGAACACAGCTAGGCCCAGGAACACCACTGATAGGAGCATCAGCATGGCTGAGCTGCTGTGTCTGGGGTTGGAATCCACCAAGGGTGCTGTGGGAGCGGGAGACAGGACAGGAAAGGTTCTGCTATTGATACTTGAGCTTTAATGTTGTTGTCTGCCATTTTTGTCAAGCCATTTGGGTAAATTTGGAACAATTACTTACTGATAACTTACTGAATATACATTGTCCCTGATAATAAGTAAGTGAAGTAATGTGAATAAAATAATATTAAACCTGCAATAAATCAAGCATAGCATTAGTTCAGGCAGGCAAGTCAAGCTCAACCCACAATTCCAGCACATCAGCTGACAGCTCAGCTGATTCCTCTCTTAGCTTTCATTGGTAAATTCCATACAGGGCACCTATTTAAGCTGCTGTAGCACTTCCAGCTCTGCCTTTCAGGCTGTATCTGATAGGGATGATAGATATTATCGATCCGATAAGTATTGGCTGATTAGGCATATTTCACCATCAGAATCATATCGGGAATTAATTTTGGCCAAGAATTTACACAATGCTAACATGCGGCGCTGCTGTTCTCGCGCTCTCGGCGTCAAGTTGCTGCACGTGGACAGAGCCACACAGACGCAGTGCAGGCAGCTAGAGCCAAACAAACATGTCGTCAAGGTTCAGATGTTTTTCACTGTTTCAGAAGAAGAAGCGCAGTGCATATGGCATCAGTCCTTCCTCCTGCCCTCCTTCCCTCTGTCTCTGCTGTGATCGCCGCAGGTAACAACGAGCCAAATCGAAGCTACATAGCAATCTAAGCGAACAGTTAGACTACAGACAGCTTTCATTTAGCTTGTTGTACATCCAGCTCTTTTGTCAAGCTAGAGTTAGCGTGGTGTGCTTTTAATAACATAGAGGATGACAGACGTGGACTGAGCAGATCAAATAACACCTTCTACATGTTATGCTTGGGGGTAGCTGTCATTAACTCGAGTAACTCAGAGTTACCTTCACTTCACCGTCTCCGCGGCCTTTCTCTGCGCTGGCCATTGTGTGTGCAAGAGGCGACACGGAGCAGCAGAGGCTGCAGCCTGATGATAAACAGCACGGTCTATAGCCCCAGGCCCGTTTAACACCTTGTTTCAGTGCCTATCTAATATCTGATTAATCATGTAATTTGGCATATGCCTGCTTTGTTCTGTACGGGGGTTCTTTACAGCTGCTCTCTGCCTTGGGCTTTCCATGTATGCATATGGATGAGGAGGTGCTCTCCCTGCCTTATGCTTTCCATATAGTCAGGTGGAGGGACGGGGAGCTGCTCTCCCCACCTCATGGCTTCCCACGTAGGCGTTTGGAAGGGCTATAGTAGCATTCTGGAGATGCTGTGCTGGCTCTGCTTAGCTTCACAGCAGCAACTGTAGTGACAGTTTGCTAACCCACAAGTTAGCTAACATTGGCTACATTACTTGCTGTGTTGTTGTTCACGCTATATCATGATTTTGTCATGGAATTGGATTTCTCCAGAATCACTTACTCCACCTTTTACTAATATTTAAATGTTTTTCATCCTGCATTAATCACACCCAGGGCTGGACTGGTAATCTGGCAAATGCCCGGTGGGCCGACGTACCTTTGGGGCCGGTGTAATTTAAATAATGTGTTTATATAACTGTTTTTTAAAAATGGGCCGACGCTTGGCTCATAAGGCATGGACAGCAGCCCATTGGGTAATTTTCTATACTGACACTAGACGGGCCCAATCACATCACTTACTAGCCCCCCCTTCAGACAGCTGCCGCCAAATGCGGGAAAACAACCGACATGTTTGCTACCGGGGCCGCAGTAGCTTTAACATCAGCTGCAGTACACGACGTACTGCTGGCACAGGCACTTGAAGGAGTGAAGGACAGCAGTGGCCACTGCCAGGCAGAGGAGGAGGCATGAGACAGCGAGTGACAAAGTGATAGGGCTGAGGGAGAGAGAGAGAGCAGGAGGAGAGTGGAGGTGAAGCGGTAGGCATGGAGTAGCTCAACCTGTAGGGAGGGAGCAGGAAGGGAGGGTCATTTACACTGGGGACGCTGGGGACCCACCACTTTTTGAAAGCATTTGTTAAAAATGTTCTGAAAAATAGCTTGCACCAAGAAATGGTTATTAACAAATAAAAACGTTGTGAAAAAAGTTTATTTGCGCAGTATGCCTGTAATGTAACGTAAATATAGAAGAAACCTGTCCAAAAAATAACCTAAACGGCTAAAAACAATAATAAGCTACTGATTACTACATTATATTCTATTATATTTTTAGCTTCTTAATTGTCATCAGCCACCTGAATTTCGTGCTTCTCTGGTGCAGAAAATGTCTCCAGAATGCAGGAAATTAAGTGTTTAATGCTCAAAATCTTGTGTGTTTTGTCACACCCCTAATCTGAGCCCTTAAATGGACCGATGGGGTATTGGTGAGGGGTGTCCGACCGATTTTGGTGGGCCACCTGGGCCAACAATGCTAGGGCCGATTTTTTTGGTCCCAGCCCTGCTTACACCCATGTTTGGTATTCTTTTGCTTCACTACTACTGTGGATAGGAATGTGTACATGTAAAACACAAACAGAACGGGCATGTAAAAACATTGCTCCATTGCACTAATAGTGGTCAAACACTACTCTTGAGTACTTCAAATTTATCAAGTAAAGAACTTGAAAGCTCTGTTTCTATTTAAGTAGATGACCCTGAAAACACAAATGATATCGCCGAAACAAGAGGAATTCATACAATACATTTTTTTTAGGCTTCAGATGCAGACCTTTTCATCAACTAGATGACAGTAGTCACCACAACAAAGGCAGTTTAGCATATAGCATGGGCATATAGTTTAACAATTAATTTCTTTTTCATTTGATTCTATCAACATAGAAACTGCAATCTTTCTCATTTTCCTGACTGCACATTCAGATCAACATCATATCTGCTTCACTAACGGAAGTCCGCTGTTTATTCTGAGTGCTGTATATACTGTATCGTTATAATGCATTACGAGATGATGCTTTTATTTTTAATATTGGAAACGTCACAAGTTGTGGTAGCGTGAAATGGATAATAAAAATAAAATTGCTGGACAAAGGTGACAGCAGCAGGTAATTCACACATTTCAGGTAGATCTGAAATGGCTAAATGCACTTAGATTTATCTCAAACAACCCAACCAAATAAGCACGTTATGATTAATGTCACAGTCCATGGTTTTGCTCATAAGGCATCCGTATTAAATTCTTCTTATGATTTTGAAGAGAGCATTACTGTCTGTCATTGCAGGAAAATCATATTGAATTTCCCAATGTTACCATGCTTCGCTTGGGCCATTCAGCTCAGAGATGACGGCACGTATGCTGCTGACCTTTTTCAAGCAGCTTGAAGGCTTTTAAGACCTTTTCTTGGGAGGTGAAATATAAAGAGGGATCCAGCTGGGTACACCTCCAATGTCATTGGAGTGCAGAACACCACAGAACGTCACTCTGCAGAACATGCCAGGCTGTTAATACCTACTACTTTGAGCTACAGACAACTCATGGCTGTGTGCCTCCAGAGATTTCCTAATGAAACCAACCAAGCAATGACTACAATGTAAGAGGAGTTGTTGAGGACTACCAAGGCCAAAGCCAATAAAAAAAAAAAGTTTCCCAGACCAGCAACATTGTTTACATTACAATTTGATACAACAGCAATTTGTTTTTTGGCAGAGTTAAATTTACCAAATGTAGACCAACCTTCTATTTCCTGCAGTAACTAAACAGAGTTGTTGACTGTTGAAGGAATTCAGAATTCTGCTTCTGCCCTTAAATTGCACAGTGTTCTTTCTCAAGGACTAAATAATCAGCATAATTATACTCAGTCTAACACTCATTTTGTGGTTGGATGGCTATCAAAGAAATAGAACAGATGTTCAGCTTTTGATGGCAGGCATAAAAGATCCCTTGTCTCAAGGAGCTCCACTTAAAATCAAACCCACCCGTACTCCCCTGTGTTCTTTTGCCTGGGATGGAGGCATACTGACAGGAATTTTAATTGGTGGACCAAAGAGAAATTCTTGTTGTTAAAACATGGTTATTACAGTTCTATTTGTTGGCACTTCAAAATGAAAAAAAACAGACAATGCTAGGGCATAATTAAATTACCTTTGCAAGTTCATATTATGGTTGAACTATTGAAAGCAGTGTGAGCAAATGTTACTTACCCAGTGTTAACTGTGTGTTGTACACGATCACTCTTACACCAGGCTTGAGCTCAAACTCCACCAAATTTTGGTTCAGCGCACTTACAATGATGTCAGATACCTGTTAAACACATAAAACTTGGTGTTTAACATTCACAGAGCACCTTCTGTCACAATTGTTTATCTACAGAGCAATATACTGTACTTGATAGGATTCCAACAATTTGTGATGTCAAATACAATGAACGTTGCCCGTACCTGTTCTAGCTCCTCCTCACTCTTTTTCTTGCCCTCTGATTGGTTCTTGTAAGGTAACAGGAAGAGCTCAGCAGCTGTTGGAACTCCTGGGAACACGGCTACCAAGAGCTGCTCCTCCGGGAAGTCAGACACCTGTGACAATGAGGAAAAATACTTTATTAGCTATTACACTGTGACAGTTAATGTAACGAATAGCTTCATCAATTAAAAACACATGACTTGGTTCAGGTAACGATTAAGCGTTGTATTGTATTTTATTCCTATCACACATTTCAATGCAAATAAACTCAATTCGTTTGACATTAACATGCAAGTAGTAGATCCACACCTGTTCAGAAATTGCATGTTTCAAAAGAATGAAAATGAAAAATAAAAAAGTAAAGAGTAGAGAACTTAATTATGTACTCAAACCCTCATTCAAGATGCAGTTGCCTGGCTTTGAGTCTTTGCTGGAAGCTAAGTGGTTCTATATACTCAGCACTTAAGCTAAAAAGAAAGAAAAGCAGCAATGGTTCAGATGTTGGCCATCCTCAAGTAGAATATTTTTTCTTTCTAAAAATAACGTCTTCATACGGTTGTTGATGCTTTAGTGTTATGCTGGTGTTAATATGTTTAGTGATATTTTTAAGTTATTTCAATTAGGTTCTGTTGTTGTGTAACTTTCAACACATGCCTAAAATGTAGAAAATGAACAAAAGATTGCTGCTTTGGCTAATTCTTCTTTAATGTTTTAAATCTGAAAAGAATCTTCAACCTGAACATGTCCCATGTTTGTAAAAGATCCCTAAACTATGAAAAAGAACATCCCCTCTCTTTTACTCCTGCTCAGCCTTTCAGTAAACGTGTGTGCAAACACGCCATTTGAATTTAGCTCCTTTCATAGCATCATGGTGGGATCTGCGTAGCATAGGACCTTCTCCAGTTGGTCCCGCCCATTTAACATGTACTTAAAAATAGAATGTTTTCTGGTTTTCCCTCTGATGTCTTCCGGCTGCTCTCCCTCAACTCTGATTTATGGAGTGAATGTGATGGACTGATAACTTGTTGTTAGCGGTCACTATAGCCACTAGCTACTGCTAACTGTAGCTACTGTTACCAGCTGGTTCTGCCTGAACTGGGCACTTCCAGCAGTCCAAAGCTCTTGTAGTAACAGAGGTGTAAATATCAACACCCCCCCGAAGCACCAAACTTCCAGTCCAGGCAGAATCATCTAAAAGGACAGCTAGCTCTACGGCTAACTAGCAGCAGCTACCGTTAGTGGCTAGAGTAACTAGTAAACAAACTCCGTAAATCAACTATAGTTGAGGCAGGGCAGGGAAAACCAGAAAACATTTTCTCCATAAAATTTGATCCAGTTTCACCAAAACCAGAGAATAAAGTTATAAAGTTGTGTTTTTGTACTTTAATCACAATGGCCTAGTCTCGCATAGCAAGCCCTATCTCCACACATTGATTCACACACCTCAGGTGGCCCTCGGGAAGTTGGCAAAACACAATAAAGTGGGCTTTTAGGAAGGGGGGCTTTAAAGAGACGGGAACTACAATGGATTGTTCAAGGCAAGGGAAGGCAAGAAAATTTTAAAAAGTAATGAATAAAAATAACAATTTTAAAAGGGTGAAATAAAACTAATAAAATTAATAATAATATATGAAATAAAAACAGGATAAAACAGGAAAATAAAGGTTACAGTGTGGAGTACAATACTGATCTACAGCCTTAAACTTGATTTAATTAAAGTGCTTTATAAACCAACCAATAAAAGTATGAGCCTGAAAATGAGTATAATATATGAAACACAGTTAATATAGAAAAATCTAATAAATATTAAAAAATAAACAGGATGAACTACTGTATATTCAACTGTTTTTTCATTAATAAAATTTAGGATCTTACAGATACTCTGAATTCACCAGTGCATTTGTGTTTTAACTAGTGTTGTAGTACTCAAGACCACTCTTTGATGGTCTTGTTCTCATCTCGGACTCGACTGCATTTGTACTCGGTCTTGTCTTTTTTTCCAAGATCAGTCAAGACCATAACTTCAATATCAATAAATTGCTTTTGCATCCTAACTTTGATTGGATGTAAAACATGTAAACAAATGTAACCACTAACGCTATCTAAAAATGTGTTGTTACCGTTAACATCTGTCCCCCCTCCCCGCGATGGTAAACATGGAAAGCTCTTAGTGTTTGTATGTGGGTGTTTTAATGGGAATGTGGATCTTTCAGATCAATCTGAGAAGTACCTATGATCTCGTTCCACATTTTATCGTTTGTCATGTAATGTGGGGAACCGGTTGAACTCGGTCTTGGTCTCGACTTGGTCTCGGTTTGGGTGGTCTTGACTACAACACTAGTCTCAACCAACCCTCACCAACACTCTGGAAGGCTGGCAGTAACTGTACTTTCAGGTAAATACAATTTTACTACTGCTGCTCTGTTCTTTTCTAAGAGAGAGCGGAGCAGAGAAGGAGAGCGATAAAGAGAGACAGAAAGAAAGGGTGAAACACACAAATAGCAACATAGTGAGAGATACAAAGAGATAGAGTGTTGAATGCATAATGACCTTTATGTCTAGTTGACAGATGTAAGAGCACCCTTCTTTTTCAAGTGTCATTTCTTTCTTTTCATTCTTTTCTTCAACACTTACACTTACTTAGTAACCGTATTGTGTACAGTCCCATGAAGCCAGTGGGGTCAGCCACAGCTGTTTAGCCTCCGCAGATACAAGTAGATACAGGATAAGGCCGGGTCGAGTCAAGCCGCTGCGTATCTGCTCTTAGCTTGGGTGATAATATAAGTTAAAGGCAGCTTAAACGTAAGTGAGGTCACAGCTAGTGGATGATGTTGCCTGTCAGAGGGCCCAGTAGATATATGAAGGTCCAGCCTGACAGCCAGTGCAGGACTTTATGTTTGGTCAAAACATAACTTAACATGAATACGTCATTAGGAATGCTTATCCAACATTTGGTGTGTTTTACTCTGTATCGATAACTGTACAAAGTGTTTAAAGAGGTGGTATTCTGCTTTTTGGCTTTTTCCCTCTCCTTTATTGAGTTAGATATCTTTTTTGTGTATGTAACAGGTTTGCAAAGTGAAAAAGCCCAAAGTCCAGCCCAAAGGGATTTCCGATCTCCCACAGAAAACTCTGCTCTGAACCGCTTGAAAACAGCTCGTTTGTAGTCCAGCCCTTCACTTCCTGTACTTGTGATGTCACAATGAAAATGCGTCATAAAGCTTGCCAAGCGGCTAGCGGGGTCAGGCTAGTCCTCAAATCAAGCTAGTCTGAGCGGAGGCCCTTTGGCTCGACTCGCCTTTGTTTGGGTTTCCATTGTAGAAATGTTGTACCTGTACCTGCTTTCAGGTACTTTTTTTTTTGTATCACCTGACCTCCGACGAGGTTCCAAGCGAGCTGAGGGAAACTAAAATGTAACATGAAAACACGACAGACTGCTGATTGGTCAGAGAGAATATTCACTATTCACTGCATCATCACTGCTGCACCAGACAGAGGCCAGCAACAGAAAGTATTATATTTTACAGTTTCCTTATGGAATTTCAACATTAAATCCACTTCTGAGAATTTTTGAGGTGAGAAATCAGCTGTGTAGATTTTGAATATTGACAGTTTTACAAGAAATGATGGCGGAAGAAAAATGTGCTTGAATATTTTCGGAGTTGAGGAGCTCCGCAAGTGGCTGCGGGGGAAGCCTGCGCCAACCCGCGGGAGGAGCGTGTGAGGCCGGCCGGCCGCCCGCTCACAGAGCCCTCTGCTCCCGCCGTCACACAGACCGCTGCAGCAACAACGGCAGAGGAAAACACAGCTGGAAGGTTTTCATACCGCTTATCTGTCTTTACATTCTGAGGAATGTTGAAATGCTTTAACTTAAAAAAGAGAAAGCTGTGTGGATCACTGGTGCGTGTGTCGCATTGAACATTACGTCACGGCAGTTGTGTGTGGCGTCGCTATGACGACAAGCTACGTAATATCTGTGGGTACTATCTGCAATGGAAAACGGAGCAGGGTCGAGTAGAGTCGAGTCTATCGATTTGCGCTATGGTAGCATTTTTCGGCAAGGCAGTATAGAACGTTAAGTCCTGATGGTAAGATGTGGAACAATGATGTTGTGGACTTGAGAATAACTTATACCATCTGCTAGGTTACGGTCGCAGTCTGAAGCGGCTTTGATTTAGATCACACTTCTCTGCTTCTGATTGGCTAGTAGTCCTTGCCTGGGAACTGCGCATGTGCGACTCCCAACAACAAAGATTTTGTACAAGTTTCTGTAGCTCAAGAGCGGAGCGAACAACACACAGGGTGAAAAGAGGAGCTACAGCAATGTGCAGTATGAGAAGAATATGGTGTTTTTTGAAAATTAAACCATGTGAACCTGTTCTGGTACAACCCCTAAATAAGATTTTGAACCTGAAAATGAGCTTAATACCACCTCTTTAATGCCAATACTTCACAAATGGATATTCCTGCAATGTCCACTTGGTTAAGGTTATGGACAGACAGTGGTGGTTTAATAACAAAATTACTTGTAATAAATATGAAAACCATTGAAAATGTAGGACTCAGAACATTGGCATCAAAAGCAGATCTTTTACTTCCAAATATCTACCTTAGATTTTACAATGTTACATTAATGTCACTACTTTTTTACCTTGTTATCCCTAAAGCAGAATAGCTGCATACAAATATAAATATCTTAAAAACTTCAATTTGGAAGTGTTTTTAGTCCCATTGGTTGGTAAGTTTTAGAGCAATAGACTAGAAGAATTTCAATACTGGGCCCTTAATGACTTTGGTGATCACCTGACTTTTTGCAACCAACAGGCCACATACATTTTCTGGGTTTATGACTAGAATTTACTGGTTAAAAAAGCATATATATATATGGATATAATACAATACGGATGCAGCGTGTGGGACAACCGCAACAGCTTCACAGGAACGCACCTGCTTGTCGCTACACATTGTGATCGACCACTTCACCTCACTCTAACAGGAAAACTTGCTTCTGAACATAGACGGTTTCTGCTGCTCCCTGATAAAAGATACCTGCTGATACCTGTTCAGAAAAAAAACAAGAAAACTGGACTCTGATGGTAACTTGTTTTAACAA